CATGTGGTAGTATGTATGAACCATCGAACACCACACCTCCGCCCCAGCAACATACCACCGCAACCCAACGAGAGTGAAGCTGCATGCGGCGGAAGCATCCCCCCCCCCTCTCCCACTCTTCATCCATTCTTCATATACTATGTATACTCAGTACGATGTACAATCTCAATACTGCACCCCATCTTGACCACTGAATGGCTGGAAGTCATCCCCGACCTGGCCCGCATCTCTGCACCCATGGCCAATAATCCAAGCCCTGCAGTTACCCCTGGCTAGAGAAGTATGTAGCCAGATGTACCATGCACGGGGGAAGGCTCATGTGGACAGATCAGATCGCCGGGTTCGCTGAGACACGCACTCCGGAATCACGCACCAAGAAACGGGTACTTTTGGCAAGCCAGATCTACACGTATTACGCAGCATACCTTTCGTGTACCATACATACATCCCAGGTCCTTGGGAGTTAGCCGACGCAGGCGCGCTCTGTTCTCACTGTAGGAAGGTATGCGCATCTTGACCGATCAACTGTGCCTCGCCAAGAGAGATAGTGACAACTTGACCGGGTTCTCATAGTCGGAGATGAGCGGCAACGAAAACTCTCATTATTGGGACGTTCCCTCGCGGGGTTGTGATTTCAGACTTTTGCCACTTCACATTCCAGGAGTCTGATCATGTGCATGTAGTCCAGTGTTCTCGTATGTCTGTTTGACCGGAGAGAATCTGATGTCGATGTGAGAGATGTTGCGCTTTATCGCCTTCTACATATGGGTAGCGGCTCGAGTGGTGACCTTTTTTTTACCTTCCCTTTTTAACATCTAGTACCAGTACTCCGGATGCGAAGATCCTGACGGACCACATCAGACAGTCGATCCGTCCATCCGATATCTCCAGATCAGACGATCCAGTGCTCTTCTTTATACCTCTGTTATTAATTCACCTCCCCTCCCAATGCAACTTGGCTTGAAGCCATGGTACAGACCACGGAGTAGAATACCATAGTTTCGCGCTCGGCTAAGCGACCATCGACCCTATAATTGAGTTGTTCTAGAAAACGACCCGAAAATGTGACAAGCGAATCGTAGGTTTGAGCTTGGTGGATCCCCCCTTCGCCAAGCGGAACCGTGTATTTTTGGTTTTTTTTTTTCCCCTTCTTCCTCCCCCCACCCTTTTTCTACTTCGTTGGTGGGCTTCAACGACCTCGGGGTGAGGATAGGACAGTTGTGTCAGAATGAACTGAACTTGCTTGTGTACTAGGAACCACGTAGATGTAGTCTAAGCCGGGCTGGGTCGAGTTGAGTCGGGCATATGCTCGCCGCTCCAATTGATTCCATTAGGGTCGAATCTCGGATGAGCTCAGTAGTTCGTTCGGCATGTGCGATGCGTTCGAGAAATTGAAGGATCGGATTCATTGGAGGGAGTGATCTGGCTGCAAGATCTAGACTGCTTTTAGGTTAGTTTGTCATGCTACTACTCGTAAGTCCAGGACTAGATAGGTACCTTGCTTTAGTGTGTCCTTTTCTGTCTTCGTGCAGATGTTGTATCATCGGGGCAAATAGTTAATGCATATGATGTCGATGGTCATGAGCTTTGGATGTTCGGGTGATAGATCATGGCTGAAGTGGAGAGTGCAAAGATACCATCAGAACAGATACATGTAGTAATATTATGCTGACCTGAGTGTTTCGCCGTATCCTTTCTACATCATAATATATTTGTAAGATGAAACTCTTCGACCTGATGTTCTCGGTGGCGACTTCTTGATTCCCAGCTCTTCTCTACACAGACCTAGCGCAATCCAGCATAAACAAATGTCGGGAAACACCCCGATTGTCTATATTCGAGACGTAGCAATCGATTGATTGATATTGTGCAGCGCTTCGAGAACCGTGACATTTCAGTCCGTCTATACTATCTATGGCTCTTGCAGTACTTCGAGGCTGAAGACAGAGCTGTGCCGCTTATGCGTGTTGTTGCCAGTTCTCAGCCGGCCAACTTCGCAGCTGTGCGCTTGCGCTTTCTCTTTCGCATGATGTGAGCCATAATAGCATGCAGTTACAACTCCAACGCCACTTGTGCTTCTGACTCCTTTATCTAATGCACATGTAGTATCAGCATGCATCTTTTTATGCCTCACGTGCCTGGTCGGATATACTATCGGGGCTTGAGCCAATAAGAATAGCAACCTGCGATGCAAACATTGCAAAGTGGGCTCTTCAATTTTTTTGCCCGCATTATGGAGATTTTCCCCCGCCGCCTTTGGAAGCGGCCGCGCTCGAGACGGAGTACAACACCCCCAGGATTCCAGGCACGGGGATCTTCTTTTGTGTCCACTGTTCACTGTCCCTCACTTTGTGCAGGATCACCCAGCCATCATGGACCCCACGTCTATTCCGGAGCAAGTGCACTCGCACGATGGTGCCGACACGACCCAAGAGCCTCCCTCCAAGAAGGTCAAGTTGGACGATGCGCCGACCACCAATGCATCTGCAGCTGCAGCTGTTGAGGCCGACCCGCGGCTCAAGGGTGTCGCTCCGATCAAGGCTGAGTATGCGACCCGTCGCAATCTTGCTGTAGCCGATTTACCAACGGTCACTGACTTTCATATCCAGGTACCTTTTGCCGCGATCCGACAAGAGCCAGCCCACCCCCGAACAAGAGAATCAGGACGATGCCGCCGAGGCCGCCCACCACGATGGCCGCAACAGCAACAGCAACAACACCGAGATGAAGGCCCACCAGTACCAGCAGAAGAAGAACAAGAAGAAGACCGGCCAGAACACTAACCGGACCTTTGGCCGGTCGGAGGATGCAAAGGGTCTCTGCCCGAGCCGCATGTTCCAGCCCGAGTTCTCCCCCGCCGAGTGCAGCTTCGGCGAGAAATGTCGATTTGAGCACGACCTGCGCATCTATCTGAAGGAGCATAAGCGGGAGGATCTGAACACCATGAATGGCGTTTGTCCGGTGTGGGATACTCACGGCAAATGCTTCTCCGGCTGGAAGTGTCGGTTCGTGGGCTCGCACTCGGAGGAGCGGGAGACGGAGGACGGGAGAAAAGAGCTGGTTCTCCTCGAGGATGAAGAGCGCAAGAACAAGGTGCAGCGGCTGGTCCCCCAGGCTTCGGAGGAGGGCGTGTTGAACATCGCCGCCATGGACGATAAGCTTGCGCTGGCCCGGAAGAAGAAACATCTCCCCAAGGCGGAGGCGTATTCGAATTGGTTGGAGAAGACGAACAAGGCCATTGAGAAGGATCTCCACAAGCGCGATCGGGTTGGGACCACGGAGGTGGAGGATGGGTCCAAGGAAGAGCAGGAGGACAATCGCGCTGCCTACGTTGAGCCTCCTTTGCTTCCGTCTGAGAAGCGCAGGCTGTATTTTGGTCCCGAGACCCCGGCCTTGGCTCCCTTGACGACACAGGGCAACATGCCCTTTCGCAGACTCTGTGTGGAGCTTGGCGCGCAGCTCACTTATTCGGAGATGGCCATGAGTCTGCCATTGATCCAAGGGCAGAAGTCAGAGTGGGCTTTGATGAAGGCGCACGAGTCGGAAATCGCTCCCCCGACGGTTTTTCCTGGGTCGGACATTGTGCAGGACTACGACAACTCGAAGGATATGAAGTTTGGCGCTCAGATTGCGGCCAACAAGCCCTGGCAGGCTTTCAAGGCCACAGAGGCACTGTCGCAGATGACCCCGCACCTACGTCTCATTGATCTGAACTGCGGCTGCCCTATCGACCTTGTCTTCCGTGAAGGTGCGGGCTCTGCTCTTCTCGAGCACCCGTCCAAACTCGAGAAGATCATTCGTGGCATGAACACCGTTTCCGGGGAAATCCCCGTCACCGTCAAGATCCGGATGGGAACTAAGGACAACTCTCCCAATGCTTTGAAGTTGACCGAACGCCTTCTGCTTGGAGGCTATGAGTCTCATCTGTTCGGCGGCGGTGGTGCCGGAGCGGCCGCTATCACTCTCCATGGGCGGAGCCGACAGCAGCGGTACACCAAATCCGCCAACTGGGAGTATATCTCCGAATGCGCCGCTCTTATCAAGCGACTGAATGAGAAGCAGGACGAAATTGCCGACACCATCCGGGAGCCCGATGCTCGCACGCAACCCAACGGCGGAAAAGTCTGGTTCCTCGGCAATGGTGACTGCTTCTCTCACATTGACTACGATGAGCATATTAACAATGCGGGCGTCGACACTGTCATGATTGGCCGCGGAGCTCTGATCAAGCCCTGGCTCTATGAGGAGATCCAGGCAGGCCAATACCTTGACAAGTCCTCGAGCGAGCGTCTTACATACATCGAGAAGTTCGCCAAATATGGTCTCGAGACCTGGGGATCCGATGAGCATGGTGTTGGCACGACTAGACGCTTCTTGCTGGAATGGCTGAGCTTTGCCCGACGTTACGTGCCTCTCGGTCTGCTCGAATATCTCCCGCCCCAGATCAACGACAGACCCCCGGCGTTCCGGGGCAGAGATGACATGGAGACCTTGATGGCGAGTACCAACTACAAGGATTGGATCAAGATCACGTAAGTACATTCTCAGCTGGCTGTCAGGTTCGCGGTCACTGGATTCGATGCTGACCCATCTCTATAGGGAAATGTTCCTCGGTCCTGCCCACAAGGACTTCAAATTCGAGCCCAAGCACAAGTCCAACTCATATGACGAAGCGGAGGGTTAGATCTCATGTAGCGCCTAGACTAAGCCTGAACAAATGTGAACACCCTGTACATACTACCACTGTCATATCCAGACTTGGCCGGTTTCAAACTTTGCCTAGTAAGGGTAAACTGGGGGGATATTTTAGGCCGGCTATGACGCACTTGGCCCGGCACTATCCAGCAAATAACTTGTCACGTGATGCGCCTCAGCTCTGGGCGGTGATGACGTCTGTCCCTCACCAGAAAACTGCAAAAAGACCACCTCATCCCCCGTACACACAACAGACATTCTTGTTCTTCTTCACAAGCATCGATCAATTGGTGATTATATCGGGGGTATTTATCCCAGCTATCTGTGAAATCATCTGTCTTTCGAAATCCTACGGTATCGAATCGCTCCGACAGCTCTTGTTTATCCTGCCTAGCTACCTATCGCACCTTCACCCCTCAATCAAAGCTTGAACGAAGCGTCAGGCACAACATCGATCCCACAATCAGTAGCAGCGCAACTACTTCATCAACTTATACAAAATGACTCTCTACTACAGTCTTGTAAGTGTGGATGCCCAAATTGCAGTCCCTGTGGACATCCTCTGAGCTCGGGATAATGCTGCAGCCTGCAGCCCCCCTGGCCATCTGCGCGCGCCACTCCTCCCAAACCTCAAGACTGGCTTAGAAACGACAAATGCTTACTGGATGCATATAGGTCTTCTGCCTGTTGGTGTTTGAGATGGCGGTCTTCATGGGCCTCATCATCCCTCTTCCGTTCACTGTGAAGAGGAAGCTCTTTGCCTTCATCTCAGAAAGTCCTATAGTGGCCAAATTACAATATGGGCTGAAGGTCAGTGTGCCCTGGCTGGCCTTACACCACGCTCAGTAGCGAGCGATCTAACTAAGACCAAACTCAGATCACATTCATCTTCATCCTCATCCTTTTCATTGACAGCGTCAACCGCGTCTATCGGGTGCAGCTAGAGTTGGCTTCCTTCAAGGAGGGCGGTCCCATGGGGTATGTATCCGGCTCACGCCTCTTCGCCATTTCACCACAGACAAGCTAATACCCTTGTTCTCAACCAGCGCCGCCGCCCTTGGCACCGACCGCATGGAAGTCCAGGCCCGCAAGTTCTACTCGCAGCGCAACATGTACCTGTGCGGCTTCACTCTCTTCCTGTCTCTCATCCTCAACCGCACCTACACCATGATCCTTGAGGTTCTTCGCCTGGAGGACCGCGTCAAGCTTCTGGAGGGCGACAAGCGCGCTGGTGGCAAGGACTCCGCTCGTCTCGCGCAGGCCGGCGATGTCGGCGAGATTGGTCGTCTCAAGCAGGAGCTCGAGGCTAAGGACCGTGACATTGAGACTCTGAAGAAGCAGTGCGAGGGTCTCACGGCCGAGTACCACAAGCTGGGTGACCAGGTCTCCGCTGGCAACAAGGACGTCGCTCCCAAGAAGGATCTGTAAGCGAAGGACAAGGCGCAACCGCAACCGCAACGTGCAATAATCTCAACGATTTCTTGCCGATGAGTGTTGCGAACTGGGTGGAGGATCGGAGGTCAAAATCAGGGAGACGGCAGATAAGTGGGGATAGATAAGGGGCAGGACGGGGAACACAAGCAGTTAGGAATCGCTTTGCTCCGCGAGACGTGATGATATTCATTATCTGCATCTCTGGCGAAAGCTTACCTAATTCCTTTTTTTCGGTTTCGGCATTGAGGAGATTCAAACTGTGAGGGCTGAGCGAAGTGGCATTTCATCTTTTTCCAAGGTCTATCATCATTGTTCCTGGCTAAGTGGTCATCTGTGAGCATCGTGTGCCGAAGCAGTCGAGTTCCCCACGAATGCAGTGGGCATAATATGATTTTTGTTGTTAGAATCACAATGAAGTTGAGGATTTGAAGGTTATTTTTCGCGAATCAGTTTTCCCCGCGCATAAATCGCAGCAAGGACCAAACTCGAATTAGTGGAAGTAGCGCGTGTCCGACGTGTTACCTAGTGGTACTCTATAAGAACGATTCTAATGATATTGATCGATTGAGGGGGCAAAGAAGCGCTTGGTCTGCATTGACCATCCTCTGTTCCTTCAGGGTTCTGCAACTGCTCTGAAGACGTGGTCCTTCCTTAGGTTGCCATTTCGCCCCCAATTCTCTGGGAATATTAACTTGTCAGCCGGCCCATGAATATTATTTCTCTCATACCGCTACGGATATCTCTCTCGTATGCACTTACCAAGTGGGACAGGTAATCTTTGCCAAGTTCGCAAGGTGAGATGGCTAATCTATGAAGCATATGATCCATTCTTGTCAGACAGGGACACCATAACGAGATGGAAACATCACTCCAATTACTGGAAGCTTCCGCTTTTCTGGGGAAGCCCGAAGCCTGAGGTGTTGGGGGTGCACCTCGCTGCAGCAGTGCGCTTTGTCTACTATACTAGAATCCCAACACGCAAAGGTAAGATCGAACACGTCGTGGCTGAAAACAATCAGACAATCGATCCAAGGAAGATATAAGCCTACTTGACGGCTTGCTTCTAGATCAACTATCTTTCCTTGAGGATTCCTTATTTACAAGATACGGCTAATGTTGCATCTAAACGCACAAACCTTTTGAAGCTGTGGCCAACTGCCCTTTGCGTGTGCCGAGACCCAGCTCGGTAACCAGCAGAGCAACATTCCAAACCACTCACTGCTGCGGTTTTATCTGGGGTGAGAACTGCGGAGCATCTGAGCTCATTCATACTAAGAAAGTCCAGAAGCTCGGATAGACAAACTCCTCCTCGAAGATCCGACGCACTTGCGCCAGAACAAACCGCTCGACCTTGCCAACGTTCTTCAGGACCTGCTTTCCGTCCTCCTTGCGGCCAATTTCACTTTCCACCCGGATTTCCTCCAGCAATCCTCCATGACGCTTGGCGGGCTCCGCCCGCGGTTTGTCTTCCTGCCCTCCTGCGGCATCTTGCTGATCGGATCCGATCAACGCGTCGGCATCCTCGGGTGATAGGAAGCAAAAATGCACCCGCTTGCGGATGTGTGCGATCACCGCGACGCCGTCGAAGGTGATGCCAGTCACATTCAGTTTCAGGGGCAAGCCCACGAAACTAGGCATCGGATAGTCCAGAAGGATCTCCGCAGTCAGCGACAGGCGCACGTCCCCTCCATATTTGACATGGCATAGAACCTGGAAGTCTTCGGGCCGGCGTTCTCGCAATCGTGGCAGCCGAAGAGACTCCGCATCGGCGGAGTCGCCGAGATGTCCGTTCTCCTCTGTGCGTGCCATGTGACCGCTACCACCTGCTGCTGCTTCTCCACTACCGTTGTTAGACCCAGCCGGATGCGGAGGGAGCGTGCTCGATGTCGATGGGCGTGAGGTTGGGTTGCTGCTGTCTGGCTCGGCTTCGGGATGTTGCGAATGCGCTGCATCGAAGGGTGAGGATGACAGGGGCCCTCTGCTCCTTGCGCCCATGCTGCTCGGATCATTCCAGCTGTTGGCGAACGGGTTTCCGCCTGCAACCGCAGCCAGAGGCGTCTGTGTTCCCGATAGGCCACCCAAAGACATCAGGTGATAGCCCAGTGTTGACGTTCCTCCGGGAATGCCAGGAGTGCCGGCGCGAGGAAGGAAGTGCGGGTTGAGATGGTCACCGAGAGCTATCGGGGAACGCAGAGCGGATGGCTGAAACCGCTCATCGAAGGGATTGCGAAGCGGCTGATGCATGGCGGTTTCATCTCGGAACGGCGGCTCGCTGAGCTCTGAGCCGGTGCGATGCCACTGCGTGCCATGTCCGGAGACAAGCTCCTCAGACACGTCGGAAGCTTCATCGTCTTCATCCTCCTCATAGAAATCGGCGAAGGGCTCACAGAAGTCTTTGATCTCGAGCTCCGGGGGGATGGTTCCGAAATCAAACGAATGGACCTGAACGGATCGGATAAATCGCGGAAGAGCTACCTGCTGGAACTTGTCATGGATGAAGGAGCGAATGCGCTCAGCCAGCGCCTCGCCGTCCGGACCCGAGGTCGCTGTGCCCCAGTCAACTTCAATGGACATCACATGTGCGAAAGCGGTCTCTATACAGGGAAAGAGGTGTAGAGCGGGTACGAAGCAAGGGCGGACCAAGCTGATGATGGGATGAGATGAGACAGGGTACGAGGAAGTTCGGAAGAGTCAAGCCGATGATCGGGAGGGAAATCGCTCGGCCTTGTGTTTGTCCGCGGCGGTTTCTCGGCGGCCCCCGTGGTGGTCACGTGTTTTCAGGGTATCGTGACCGCCTTTCATCATCATCATCAACGACAGACTATGCTATGCTTTCAATAAATTCCAACAATGCCTCGTTCTAGAGAATCTCGGCAACACCCCTGCTACTGGGTCATTCTGACTATACTACGCTGAGAAAGAGACTCTCAAACCACTGTTGATTGCCCACATCTGCATTCCGTCCAGCACAGAGCGACGCCCAACCGGCACAGACGGTGAGCACACCGCTTTGGGTTTACTGTCCCAGCAATCTGGTTCTCCCTTCTCCTAGGCCGAAGCACTGGTCCTGCGGCGCTGTTCTGGTCATTACCCAAGCTGTGCGCATTGGCTGGCACATCCTGGTGGACCAGGATGCTACCATGGGTCAGCTCTGCGACACGGCCGCCCTGAGACCACAAGGTCAGACTCTATCACATCTCCCCACCACCCTAAGCAAACTCGGACCCAACACTGGCGCATCTCGATCATGCCTACTATTGGCTCTTTTGGGAGCTTCTTGAATGCCCGGAGGAAGTACGGACGACCAGGGATGGTGTACTGTGCAGTGGCGCGGCGCAAGTGAAAAGACAAGCATGCCTCTCCACAGCTTAGATTAATCCCAAGGGCTATTCGTCCTGGCTCCTGAGACTTAAACAGGGATCAACAGCCGGTTGATTCCTGCCTCATGGCGCCAATCTCTGTGCCGGAATCTCTCCACATTATTTTCCGAGATGATAGCCTACCAAGACGCCGCCACTTGAGCGCCCGCAAGAGCGCCACGTAACGCTGCATTTCTCCATCCGGAGGCTCGTTATTACACCCAGCGCCGTGAGTAAGGACCTGCCAGCCCAGTCGCAGATATGAAGCAGCACTCCTGGATCATCTCTCAAGAATCTTGAGTCTAGAGAAGTTACAATGGCCTTTATTACGCCAAGGTCGATCGTTGGGCAGCGCGCAGCCAGTCGGTCCTTACCTAGCGCCTACCAAACCCAGACTCCTAATGTCCGCTCCCTTCTCTATTTGTCATTACTCCTAGGCGCGGTGCTTGCCCGCCTGCCTGCGCGTGGTAGGTGCCACGGACAGTTCCGCGAGCATGCTGGCACCACTTATTCCCTCTTGTTCGCCGCTGCCCTGCAAGGTCGACAAGTCGGCAACACCTAAGGTACTTGGTATCAAAGTCATCACCTGGGTCTGTGCCCCAGTTTCTTTGTATGATTTGCCGGTAGCGCCATCAGGTGATGAGTGGCGTATGCGGTGCTAATGCAGCTCTCTCGACGGACCCTTGCACTCCAACGTCACGGCTCGGGCTTTGGGGGGTCGCAAGGGGGGGAAGGGGAGGCGGACAACCGACCATGAAGCCTGCACACATCTGCACACACGCTTCCCAAGAATAATGCTACTTTTTCGTTGTATGAGGGGATTCTACAACAACCCGCCGTCAAGTCACAGGAACGTCCGTACCAGGGACAAATAGAATAGATAGAGCATTAGAATGTGCAGCAGCACAGCTAGCTAGCTGTAAGCTTCCAAGCTCCCCAGCCTCGGGGGTTGGGATTGGGATTCGTAGCGCGGGTGACCCCTTCTCTCCCATCTCGCGTCTTCGACTGAATGATTGATAATTTCATCGACCCGATAACCCGGCGTGTCCTCTCCCCTTCACCAAGCAAGCAAGCAAGCAAGTTGCTTAGCAGTAAATAGTCGAGTCGCAGGGGTGATTTCGGGATCATATCCAAGACTCCATCCCTACCTAGTACGTACCTGGAGGCTAGGAGTACAGTACAGTACCTGCTTGGGTCGGCACTCCACCTGTCCATTGCGGCTCCAACACCCGGCCAACACCGAACGTGCGTGACTGCCGGTCGAACCACGGTTGAGGCAGACCCAAACCCAAACCCAACCCAGCCGAACAAAGGAGAACAAGACCAAGTTGACAACCCAACCCTGAGCAACGAGCGAGCGAGTGGATTTGCCTTGGGGCCCACGGCGCTGGGACAGCCACGCCATCCATGGGACCGCACCACGGCTATTTCATCACACATCCCAAGTTCTCTTTCCCTTTTTCCCCTCTCGTTCCCCTCGTTCCCCTCGCTGCATAAAGGAAAGGGTACGGGAGGGCGGGGAGAAACAACTTTCCCACAGTGAAGTGACCACAATGCCTTTCAGAATCTCCAATGGGGAAAATATGAGGATAATCACGAACCGTTCGGTCCGTGGTCGATTTCTACGGCAATGGAGTGGTGGATTGACATGTAGTCGGGTGGGTTGGGCAAATACGAGATCCGAGATCCGAGCTTGATCCGATGGTTTCTTTCTCTCTCTCTCTCTCTCCATTTTTCCACGGGGGGTGAGGATCCAGTTTGGTTTATAGGGAGGATCTCGGAGATGATTTCCTCCAGATCACGACGGTAAACGGCTTGGAAATCAAAAGAGTGTATCATTTATGCTGATGCTGATGCTGATGCTAGTGCTTGTGCTTGTGCTTGTCGGTTGACAAGACGTCGCTTCAGCCAGAAGTGACTAGCTAAATAGTCAACGACAGGGGAAGGAAGCTATGGAAGACGGAATCTGAAGAAGCATGAGGGGCAGGTTGCAAGGTAATGCAATGCAATGCTGTAGAGCGAAGAGCGGACTGAGTGGCAAAGCAGATAATGGCGGCTCCTCTCCCAAAGGCCGGAAGTGAAAGTGCAAGGATGCCAACAAGAATAAAAAAACCATGCTCATGAAAACAGTGTGTGATAAAAACAAGAGTGCCTCCGAGATTGGGTAAACAGAAATGAGATCCAGGATCCAAAACACAAGGAGAGAGGATGGGTTAAACCCCCCCCCTCCCCCATGGATCGACAGAGGTACTTGACAGCCAAGAAAACCAAACATAGAAGCAAACGGTAGGGGGAAAAGCAAAGTGCGAAAAGTCCACGATGTGCGGAGTATATATGCCACAATGAGAATGATGATGAATGCATAATGAGCGAATAACAATGACCTCCCAAACTGTGAAAAAGCACATTAGAACAAGAGAACAGAAAACCTAGTCAGCTATACCACCCCATTCCCGCCTTTTTTGAATCGCCCTTTCTATCTCCCCGTGAGTCGAGGCCAAGTTTTTTTTTGGGTGCTTTTTCTGGTCGGAATTTCAACTTTTTTTTATATTTGTCTCTGCTTTGATGTTGGTGTTGGGTTGCGCCGATGGAAAAGACTCGATGGAGAGAAATCTGGGTCATCCACCTTCTTCACGAGGGCCCCTGGTTCCCAAGTTGGTTGAGGGAAACAGGTCATGGATCGTATAGAGTGGCTCGAGCCTTGGTAGAGAGTTGTTGACAGTCTTCTTGCTCCCAATACTTTTGTCATTCTGCAGGAGGATGACCAGAAAAACGGCACCTAGCTCAGAACAGGCTCCCTCCCTAAGCTTCCCTCGGCGTCTGCCTGCACCACCCATGCAGTTAGTCTCAAAGTATGCTCTGTGCATCTAGGGTTGGATCCGGTAGTCTTGGGTCTTGAGCAGGTGGATCTTCGGTAATGGGAGTGATGGTACTCACAATTGGGGTCCGGGTCTAAGGGCCACCATGCGCAGGGCAGTTGTAGCCCTCCCGTCGCCGGATCTGCGTTCGCACTCCGGTGCACGATGCGCTGCCTCGCTTTGCGCAGAAGACCACATCGCCCTCCGCAACGGTGCAGCCGCAGTCGAACTTGAGGTAGTACTGGGAGCACATCCTGACTGATTGGGTCTTGACGGTGGTGGTCTAGGTATGGGGAATAGACATAGATGGTGAGTGGAGAAGATGCAATGCACGAACAGCAAGCAAGATTGACTTGTGATAGTGGCAGAGGGCTCAAATGGGTTTCGAGACTGAGTGGAGAAGGAGACTGGAGAGCTCAGAGGAAGTGCTGATTCGGGTCGCTGAGAGGAAAGCTGATGCTGCTGATGAGATCGACTCTCTGGCCGGATTGTGAAGGGCCTTAAATAAAAGTCTCGCGGTCTGATGGACGTAGACTTCCAAAATCTCCAAGTGATAAAGAATGACTGCGGTCGACTGTGCCGCAACAACCCTTTCTACGCCAACTGATCAAGATGGCCCAGCAACGGTGACTCAGGCTGCGAACTTCCAAAAGAATTCAAATCTGAAATAATAATAATAATAATTCCAATGGCACTCTCAGTTGATCATGCGAGAGGGGGGAATAAAAATTGAAAACACTGATTAAACAAAAAATACCAGTCGAGACGCTAGAAGTGTGGTAGAAAAGAAGAAGGTTAGTTAGCAAGGAACGGGTAACTAAACTACGCATGCATGTTCCTTCTGCTTTTTTTTTTACCCTTCTTCTCATTTTTTCTTCTCTGTCTTGCTCACACTTCCGTTTTCGTGTGTTGTGTCTTTCATGGTCTCACTTTGTCATTGAGTGACGCTCATTCTGGCTCAGACGAGAGTCTGCGCCGTAAACAGTTGGCGATTCGGTCTACATCACATCCGCGATCCACTCGTAGAGCGGGCCTGCAACTGATACTCTCTGGATTCTGCCAGTGACTACACCACCACATTTGTACCCTCGATTATTGGCGGTTATGCAGATTATTCTTGAGGTAACAGCCACCTGAGGTCGTCAGCCTGGAGGGCATCGTTTCCCCAGTGAGGGAATGAACGAATGTGACTAACAAAGGTCATGCATGAACTCGGAAATCATTGGAAAACCCTTGTCGTAGGGAATATTAGACTTCCGCAGCTGCATCGACGGAAATTGACATCATCTTCACAATTACGATACTCCTGCAGCAGGGAAGGTCGGTCACATATGCAAATGGAAGCCAACGGGGTCAACGATCAAATCAGCTTGCGTCAACAATCCAACAGTTCTGTACATGTATGGGGTCATGCCGCAACTCAGGCAGAGCTCGAAACGGAGCATCTGACGCACGTCATGCTGCAGGCTGGGGAGCCTGTCATCCACAGAGTGCGTTCAACAACGCATGTCACTGCCTATCATGTGTTCAGGAAGCCTGGGTAACTGGGGAGGAGAGGGGAAGCAAGGATGACATCGTAGAGCAAGCCAATATGATCGCACCGATATCAAGGTTCAGAAATCCCCCACCTGCCGGTCCTGGTGGGCACTTGGACGGTGCTCGGCCGGAAGGCTGCGTGGTATTAGTTGATCGATGAGCCACCTGCTCCTGTCAGGGGTTGGCGCAGTTCCTGGGCACATTTTCTGGCCCACGTTCAGGCCACGCCTGTCTAACGGATCCACAAGGCATATCGGAGCATCAAGGGGACAAATAGCGGAAGCTAAGGCAATGAATCTGCATGAGCCACTCTATCATCACAGGGAACTGAAGGCCCTTGCTTTCCAGTCGGCCAATGTATGACACCCAGGACCTTGACGCGGTTGGTGATATCAGTGGCTAAGCGAGACCCCGGGCAATTCACCGTTTTCTTGCACTTCTGGTTTCCTCTCCTATGTCCGACAAATATCATTAAGGTTCTCCCACCTGCCTCCTGATGGTAGATTAGCACAGGAACCGACGAGCGGCGTGAGTCTACGTTGAGCGTATCCATTTCATAGCCCCGTCTGATTCGGTGATTTTGGTGTGATTCAAAGCCAGTCGATCGATCAATGCGCACTCGAGGAGTTGAGCAGTGCCACGCACCCTGCGCCTATCGATTTTGCGTGGTCAGCACAGCCAGCAGCTGGGCCAGACAATTGAAATTTGGGGCTGAGACCTGACATTTGGGTGTGCCGGCACAGCAGTCGCAGGTACGTGGAAAGCTCAAGGAGCGAAGCAGCAGCTCTGGGGGGAGTTTTCTGCGTGTCTTATTGTCCTTTCAACCGCCGAGGGTCCGCGCCACTTCGGGCGATACGGCGTAGGACCTTGGGGCGCTAAAACGGGGACGACCGATGGGCCTTGGATGGAGGGCACGGCCTCCTCTAGCCGCCGTTGGCTCCCGACCTCAGGAACGTTCGTACCGGAAAGGCAGACTGAAAGACTGACTGAACTTTCTCTGAGATATGGTGCTGCATCTCTTCAGCTTACTCCCAATCGCCGCAATTCTCGCAGGTGGTTCATACCACGTGACCGTCGGGGTTATTACTTGAGCCGCCTGCCGATTCCTTTGGATTTCGTCACATCTGCGCCCCTGCAGCTGGGCGGTGCTGGTCCCAGTTCAACTCCCTGGGTTGCTCGGGGGAATCAGTTGATCTACTACCTGTCCATCGTGTCTCTGGTAAAAGATCTGGCCCAGGGACTGTCGCAGTGTCTCAGTGAAGAACTAAGACAACATGATGGCCCAGTCTGGCCTCCATTCTTCGAACTTGTTTGGGAAACTCCGCGGAACCTTCGATTGCCGGCAAGGGATGGAGATAGTGCTCGGGGTCACAGCTCGCTTATCTTGCCGAATGCTAGCCCGATCGATGAGGCGAGAGGAGAATGTGGAGTGGAAGGGAGGGGGAATAATGAACAATTGAATGAAGAGGGACTGAGTGCGTGAGTGAGCGAGTGGTTCTAGAAGGTGGCGAGGCGAAGTGGAAGGAGAAGAAGAAGCAACGCAGGGGTTGGTCATGTGGTCTGAAAGAATCCCAAAGGGGCAAGACCACTACTCACTCACCTACTCGGTATCACTCCTCCGTACTGCTTGCTATCTTCATTCATTCTTCATCCTCTTGTCTTGTGAACCACTTATCTGCTAATCTCCTCTTGTCACCAGAATCTTGTCACGGGACCCTCGATAGCGTCTTGGCTGTCCACAATTTACAGTCTTGGTTGCTGATCATCCGAGGCTGAGATCCCTGAGCTGTCCTTTTTGCGAAACATTGAAATATCTCCCCCTTCGTCTACGCCCGTAGTCTCCATCGATCCTCGCGGCTTGTCCAACCAGAACTCTCGGCAGAGACAGCGTGTTCGACGTTACGGGTCTTAACTTTGGCCCTAGTGAATTGGCAAGGAAGGGGGAGGGGAGAAACGATGGGGATGACGTTCTTCTGCCCCTCCATGGGTTAATTCTATTCCACACCTCCACACCTCCACACCATCTGGCATCGTCGGCACATGTGAAGCTCTGTCCCCAAACACGATGGATTACGAATCAGCTATGGTCTACCACCACCACCACCACCACCACCACCACCATCACCCACATACCCACCCTGCTCCCTGCCCCCCAGCGCCCCGTCGGATAGGAATGGAAATGTCGTTATCGCGCCCAAAGGCTGTAATCATGCAGGCAGGTGGGCCAGTCGGAAATCCGCTGCTTGATCGACATGTTTGCTCCGAGCTCCTCCATCTGCCTCCAGCTTGTCTTTACCTTGACCTTGACCCCTCCCTCCTTCACGCCTTCCCATCTATCCTATAAAAGGTCTCACGAAACCCAGTCTGAAGAAGCTTTGTCTCAAACCTCAGAACTCTCTCCTCTCTACTCAATATCGACTGTCTCTCCGTGTCTCTACTTTGCGTTGTCTCTCTTTCAAGACATCGTCTTCAATCAAGTAGACCAGTACCACTGTCACAAAAGCTCTACCACCCATCCATCCTCAAATTGAAACACCTTACGCCCCCAATCTCATCATCACCCACCATCCATCATCAACATGTACACCGAGACCGCCTCCTCCCGCTTCCTCGTTCTGGCCCCTATCCACAACGGCCCCCTCACGGCCACATCGGCCCAACACCCTCGTGAGCGCTCCAGCAGCCAGTCCTCCACGACCAGCAACGACTCGTCGCGTCGTCCGGGCATTGCCCGCCTTCCCAGTGGCTTCCTCTACCTCGGCCACGATGGCTCCAACAGTGCCCCTCTCGCTTGAGCAAGCGCGGGCTCGGTTACGGTTGCTTCAGCCCCTACATCATATCAAACGAGTTCGCGCTGGACACGAATCGCCGCCCCTGCCAAGGATGTAACTCAGAGGTTCCTTTTCCGATGGGCGGGGGGAAGGGTGGGGTGAAAGGACAGCCTCACTATCATGCTACACTACTTACCTTTTTTTTCCCCTTTCTTTGTTGTCGATGTTTCGGTTCAACCAAGTTATGCCAGCCAGTACTTTGTTTCAGAAGATCAAATACACACCAATGATACCATATTCACATCAGAATCCCGCTCGCCCGTGTGTAAGAAAATGTAAGGGAAGAAAGAAGGGGGGGGGTGGGTTGGTTCACTGGGACCAGAAAAGAAAGAAAAACAAATACCTGCCAAGCAAGTACTATCTATCCAAGATGGACGCCAAGGACAATGCCAATGCGATAGAAACTACAGAACTGCAGTAGATGTTCCACAGCCAAGGCAAGATAGCAATAGACGAGTCGGGCGATCAATAGATAGAGATCGGATGAAAGGGGGGGGGGGAGGGGGGAGTGCATCGATAAGACGCATGTGTCTCTTGACGTGGTCGGTGTCTAAGCAGCAGATACCGGTCAATAGGACCTTGGTGGCTTGCGCTTCTTGGTGTCGCTGTCCAGAATTCTAGACTCCGGGCCCTGCCTGGATCTCCGATCTAGTTCCAAACCCGACCAACCCGTCACCATCTCAACCGTACCGTGCCGTCTGGGCGGTCTGGGACGTAAGGTCATGGGATGAGATGTGTCTACTCTGTGAACATGCCCTCTTTCTTTACTTTCGACGACTTCACTCATCACGACCAGGTGGATCAGGGGGGGGTGGGAAGGAGGGGAGTACGAACTGCATCACCCCACCATCCATCCCAAACCCAATTGCAGTGCCTAGCCAGCATCCAAGACCCCCCGTGTCCTGTATCCTACAGGCACTTCGCTTCCAGGTCCCAACCCCACCATCAGCTGCACAAGCCTTCTCGGTTCGACACGGCTGCAGCCGGGGAAGGGGGGGGATACCTTCCACGCCCGTATCTAATGCAAGTGGAAAAGCTAGTTGAAGGTAGCTGGGTAGAACCTTGAACTTCACCTTGAGCCTAACTGCCGATAGGGCCGAGGCACCGACATCCCAATCGGCGAGGGTCCTCGCTGTGAACGGACCGCGGGTACTCCGTACAGTGAAGGGAAAGAAACATCCAGACGGATGAGCAGACAGAAGAAAGGGCAGGGGGTTTCTCCACCAACCACGCCTGCACCCGTCTGTCGCGTTGGCCATTCGTGTCGGGTGTGAATTGGGGAATACTAAAGAATCATCACTCAGGACCAACCCAGCCCTTCTCCCCCTTCATAGGGTCTCGGGAGAGAAAGGTCCGAGTGCGTCGGATATGCATGGGCATAGAGCAGCATCTGGATCGTCATGTCATAGTCTAATCATCACCCCATCGGTCATCCTGTACCTCTCAGAGAAGACGTATCGGTCGGGCGGAAGGAGCGGAGGACGGATCAGAACTTGAATCGAAACCAGTACTGTACATACTTACTACGTATAGAGACAGCGTCAGCAATCGTCGTCCCCCGAACTTATCGATAAGACCCTGCCAGGCAGGCCTCCGACCAAAGGCTGGGCAGCCGGCTCACCTGGGACCCGATTGAGGAAAAACTCCAGGTGGATTGACGAGGGATGGATGAGGTGATCGACGCGATCGGGAAGTCGCTGCCTTCGATCAGGAAAGGTGGCCGTAGCTATCCAGCATACTAGAGTTGGATGCCTCGCCAACGTCATGGGCGACGGTGATCGAGCAATCGAATCGGTACTGCAGATTCCATGCCCCATATCAGATCCGCGACTGCTGCTGGCTCGGTCGGCCCGGAACAGACGGGGGCAAAAAGTCATGACAAGAGTGGGATTCGAACCCACGCCATCAAACGATGATCAGGAAGCTTTGGAGAAGCTGGGTGTTAAGGTAACCTTAACCTGACGCCTTAGACCAACTCGGCCATCTTGCCT